ATCTAAATTATACAGTCTAACTGTGTTTCACGTTGAAAGAATACTTGATTCAACATTGAGAATAAATCGTGAATACAGAGTTTCTACTCAAATTAAATTTCATTCATCTCCGATTAGACATCAAGATAATCAAATACAGTTCATGTAATAATTAACAAAACATTGAATTCGCGAATTGAAAGTTTCATCAGCGATCGTATTAATTTGGCCACTAATTTTGCTAACTAACTAGAATTAACATATACGATTCTATTGAAATCATTTCTAGCCACGATGTCTTAGATACAGAGATAGGTAAACTTCTTATCCAGGTAAAAGATTTTAAACGACGAGTACAAGATAAACAATATTTAATCTCATACCGATGAGATAAAAATTGTACCTGTTATCCAGTGCTTATTGAGTTGTTCTATGTATCACATGGATCATTGTACTTAAGTATGCTATTTATATAAGTGTTTTTAATTGGTTTAGTTTTGTTGACCGCACCATACCCAATAAGTCGAATTTTTTAATATATTATATCTTCTATTTATATAATATAATGGTGTTTCACGAAACAGAATAAAACCAAATGATCCCCAAAGAAGAATTTAGCTAATACATCATTTTCACAATATGACAAATTCATGACAAATTAATTATTACCTCTCTCGAGCAAACGATGTGCATTGTATCCGCGTGTCAAAGACCGGAAGTAAAAAGTCGTTTGCATCGAATATAATTTACCAATATGTAACGTGCGAATCGTTGAATATTTATAGAGATTGCATCTACATAACAACTTTCAGCACCTCGTCATTCTGTACTTTCTTATTCAAAACTTTTGACTTGTGTTTTTATTATAACGGACGCGAATATAAGGAAAAATACGAAGAGCCATTAGTTTGTCAGTTGTTCCAGTAACTGATTCCTTTTCTTTGCTTATTAAATCCAGCTCCTAAATAAAGTAATAAGTACCAATAATTGATAAACCTAATCTGTTTGACTGTTTTAATCAACAGTTCTGAGAAGTACTGTGTACCCCATTATGACGTCACACAACAATCCACGTTCCACAGTGGGCCAGATTTTAAATTTAGCGATTCTAATAAATTTATAGTAATCAATCTATTATTTGAGCGTTTAAAAGATATTTTAAGCAGAAAAAATTAGGCTCTATCTGAGTGTTGGCCTTAATTATAATACGACAATAGGTATTAAAGTATCGTAACTAATTTTAACAGAAGAACAATTATATATTGTTCTTAATAAAATTCTATAATGATAAAACCGATTGGTTCATGAATGACCGAACAATGTTTTAAGTTTGGCCATGTAAAATTCAATTTTGGCCCACTGTTGCAGTTCCTCGGGGTACGCGTCATCCCCGTGGCGACTTCGTTCCCCGAGTTCTTCAATGTCACGCGTGTGCTGGCGCGTGGACTTCGCGGAAAATCCGCAGCACTTGGAGGAAAACCGATGAGCCGCGACAATTTCGCGCGCAACGATCGTTAAACGTCCAACGGTACGCGCGTACGTGCGTAGGGCGAGACGGATGACCGGAATAGAAGAGAGGAACGAAGAGACCGCGATGAAAAGACGAGGAGAAACGTAGTTGCAGCGGGAAAGTTAGAGAGAGAGAGAGAGAGAGAAAAAGTACGCGAGAGAGACGGAGCGGCGGCTAAAGCGAGACAGAGATACCAACGCAAGGGAGATAGAGACAGCTGACGGCGGGAGAAGGACAGAGCCAGAGCACGCGACCTTCACGAAACGTCAAACGTCTATGCTGTTTAGCATGCAGGGCCGTACGACCGAAAGAGGTTTACCCACGCTCTAGCTCTGATTACCTTCTCCGAGACTGTCATTAGGTAACCCGTTTCGCGGTTTCCGCGGATACCAGGGCGAAAGAAAGAACGGTCAACGTCCAATTGTACGGCCCATGTGGGTCCTCGAATAGGCCATTGTTATTTATTATCGTTCGTATGTGTGCAGAGCCGACACGCGAACTCCGACGTCGAATAAATTAAACTGAATATCGCTGGAGGAAGGGGGAGAAGTTTTATATAGCGGAGTCGAGCGATCGGTTTGCAAATATATTCGGTCGTAGTTTTTCGGTTATCATTTTCGGGTCGTGTAGAGCGATCGAAGATCGTTCGAAATGAAAATAAGTGGATTAAGTTATGAAATGATAACGTACGAAAATTGAGACCACGTGGTCGTACCTGCAATAGGGATAACAGGAACGCGAACCAAAGTCTTCTAACTTCGTTCTAATTCCTTCGATTTTACTTCCTCTGTGTTCGTGTGTAACAACATTGTAGCAAATAGTATTACGTTGGAAAGCATCGATATTTAGAATTCGATTTCGTTTTTGTACATAAGCTCCAGTATACGTTACGACCCAATGATTATGTCCAGAACTTCGTAAATTTATATTTTTGTGATTGAAAATTGAAGCTTGATTAGAACTGTCAATGCTTATTATCATAAAAATTGATCCAAATTAATCGTAACGATACCAAACTTTAGGAGTTTAACATACTTATCAAACTTTGGATCGTCTTCGATACGCAATAATTCAATTAGCCTATTTAAATATAAACATCCGTAACCGTTCAAAAGATCTCGAAAAACCGGTCAAAGCGCTTAACGAATACATTAAACCTCTAAATTCTTGCGTTACTTCGATCTACGTGACCAAGCTACTAATTTTCGCCCGTTACGATGAATCATTGAAAATTGCTTAAAAACGATAGTCGAAAACGCTGTCGGTACATTTGCTAGCTACCCGACCGCTCGACAAACTGGAAAACGCATCGTTACGCGTATTAAAAAGAGCGTGGAGCTATCGTAAGTAGAATAGGGACAGTATCCTCCTTCTAAGTAGAATAGGACTGATCTTTCTTTCTCCCTAACACTGAATTCCCGACGTACGCACTGGGGCTTCGATGCAATCGCGAACGGTTGATGGGCTTTATGGTGGTCTGCCGCGTGTCCGTTAAAATCGAACGATCGCTGGCGCGATGCTCGGTGAATTTCGAGCTGTCGATAATCAGAAACTTCCGCGGAAGAGACCGTGGCGGACGTGGACACGCGACAGCGTGTCTAGGAAACGAAACGTTCCGATCTACACAGCGCGGAGTTACTCGTTTTCTCCGGCATGTAGCTTTCATACTTTTTTTTTTTTTTTTTTTGGTCGCTCACCCAAAAAGCGCTCTCCTCACCGATCTCGCCCCGCTTGACTCCCCGTCGTCCTCCAAAAATCTCGGCTTACTCCGGACGCACGTGTGATATTTTCGTCCCGCCGTGGCGGCTCACGGAACACGCACTCTTCTCGCCTCACGTTTCGCTTCAACACCAATCGAGATGAGATTTCGAACAAACCACGACCACGACCCCTCTCCGTCTCGCAATTTCTTCGTTCGATCCGACGTATTCCAATCGATCCAGCGTCGTCCTGACTCTTTACTCGCGTTTCCTGGTCCGTCGAAGAACGCTCGCTCGTCGCGCGCTTGACAGCGGACGCGGCTGAGTGTAGGTTAGGTGCAGAGAGTCCGTAGGTTAGGAAGATGAAACGTGCTCGTGATCGACCAGCATCGATCGTTCGGCCCGTGGCCGGGAATTTTTAGAGTTTCGCGTGGATTCCAGCAACGTGGACAGCCGTCCAGGCACCGACGAACGAACGGCAAGTATTCGTACTCTTGGTGAACGGTCGAATAAGATCGTCTCCGTCGACGAAACCCCGGGCTGTCATTGTCATCGTTTCACGATGCGTGCCGTCCCGACGCATTCCTTCGATCCCGGCGCGGATCTCGGCTCGTTTCGAGCCTCGTGCCGCGACATTCGACCGGGGAATCTTCCTCTACGTCAACCGGCGTTTTAATCGGCGACACGATCGGCCGACGTTGCTTTCGCGAGTGCGTTTAACTTTTGTTTACTTTTCTCCGCGTTACGCGGCCGTACATACTTTTCCGACCGATTCGTATCTCGCGCTCGGTTTCTCTTTATCTCTGTTCCGATGACCGGTCGAACGATCGGGTAATATCTGCACTGTCGCGCGAAACGCTGGCCGGGGTGCTTCACTTTTGTTCACTTTGTCACGTGTCTCCTTTGCGAAAATTCTCTTTTCTCGTTCCTTTGGGTGTCTCCCCGGCTGAGGTCCCTTCGAGCAGTTCGAAATTGATTCGCGTTGCTCGAATCGTCCGAACGTCTTCGAGCGTTTCGAGGCGCGTCAGAGCGACGCGGATCGTAGCCGAAGACGCCTGGCGAGAACAGCGTGACACCGTTGCACGCGGACGGCGAGCCTCGAGGAACGTTTGCCAAAAGTTAAACCGCACAAGGTCGAACAACGTCGGAGCGTGGTCACGGCGCGTTGTCGGAAACGATTGACGATCCACTGACGTACGCGCGCACGGTTAAACTGTCAACCGTGTGCGATTTCACGTGTCTCGGGCGCGCTCCTCGGCCGACAGGAACCCCCGTTTCACCTTTGAACGATTCCTCGGATCGTGGACACGATCGGTGCCAAAAGGGTCGCAAAGTGCGTGTTCCGTGTTCTGCCTGTTTGGTCGTGGTTATTCTTTTCTTTTTTTTTTTTCTTATTTTTTCTTATTTTTTTTTTCGATTGCGATCAAGAATCGCGGAAACGGTGGACGAATCGTGCTCTCATCGTTTTCACCACGGGCATCGCTCGTGACAGCGAACAGCAGCGGCGACGACAACAACAACAGTAGCAGTAGCAGCCCAGGCGTCGATGATTTTGTAACAGGAACGGACACGAACGTGGCGAGTAAAACGTTACAGAAAAATAGGCGAAAAGGAGAGTAACTTCTTCACACCGTTGGCGAAAAATTTGTATCGGTTTCGAGGCGGACTAGGGAATAGACGAGGGAGGTAAAAAAAAAAAAATATGAAAATAAAGAATTAAAGACTCGCGTAACACAGATCGATCCCCGTCGACGGTTTCACGCACTCGTAGCCACGTATTTCGAAATGGACACTCGCATAGAAATATTTACCTTGCTACATGTAAAATGAATAGAGAGCCTGCCTGAATCGAACGAAGGAAGGCTCAACCGGCCCACTGTGACGTCGCCGGCCTACTGTCAGCTCAGCGCTCGCTCGGCCCCGCGGTCAACTAACCTACCGTGTTCGCCGCGCAGACTTTACCGACAAAATAAATCGATTCGACGCCGCCCAGGCGCACAATTCCGACGCGATAAATCTTATTCGGCACCGTAACTAATTTACGCACGATTTGCAAAACGATACGCAGATTTTTTAAATGTTCGATGTCGCCACGGTCGCTCGCTTGACTGGCGTAGTAGTCAGGTGTGAAACGCTCACGCGCACAGCCGCATACACAGAGACGGCGCACGTTTCCCTCGCAGATCTCGCGATTCGTAGAGCCATAGGCGTCTCGTTGGACCAAAAAAACTCTTGTTCGCCGCGTTTAAGGGTGGGAGTAGAGAGCGTGTAAGAATATCAAACGCATTGACGTCTTACGCAGCGCGGTAAGGCAATTATTTCGGACGTACTTTGCCGCGCGGCTGACCTCGAAATTAGAAATTTCGCACGGTGCCGACTGGCGTAACTCGAATTTACGTGCGCGACAGAGAGACGGTGAGAGAGAGACGAACGAAGATAGAACGAGACGGATGCATCAACGGAACAGATATTCGCGTGCGATTCTGCTCCGATTTGTCACTAGCATTTTCCTCGACACCGACCACTTCCTTTTCTTATATCGGCTACGCGACGCCTCACAGAGATTCGTCTTCCGGGAAACTCGCGTTAAGAAGGTATTTCAAAAATTCATTTCCTTTTATAGTTTCTCGAAGGATACTCTTTCTTTTTCTGATCTACGAAAATAATGAAAAGCTTTCAACGTGTTTTTCTCAAAACTATATTAGTTTCTATGACACGTCAAAAATATTAGCCCTTACCAATACTTAATTATATAATATTAAATCGATTATTTACAGTTACTCGTATCAAAAATATATCTAATTAGGAAAATTTGTAAGGCAATCCGAAAAGTCCATATGCTAAAATAGTTACGATCTTACGTCTCGACTCTGATGACGATCTACTGCAAAAGTGTTTCAATTTTATCGAGTGCATTGCAAGAAGTTGAGATTGTACAGGTGGCAAGAATAAATTAGTAGATAGTAGATACAAATGACATCAGGTATTGCATAGGCTAGTTCTTTTCCGCAGCGTCAAGATTACGAATCATAATTTTTTAAGTATTAATTATATTGATCTTTGCATTCGAGAGAATAATTTTTTAAATATACATGTTTAATTTTAGCTGATTAAGTATTCGTATCCAGGTTCCTACTATTTAGTCCCCTTCTTAAAATAAATAAGGAAAAGAGACCATGTGTATTTGACTAAATGTTTACAACGAATAATAACTAAGCATAAAATTTCTTTCCTATATTTCCATTAGCACGTCTCGCAATACGAGTGAAAAATGCATAAATTTCTTTAACAGTCAATGGCTGACCTCAGCCTTGTTTGTAACGCAACTTGGATAATGGTTTCTTTGTTTCAATCAGAGTATTTTCGCTCTCTTTAGCGATATGCAAAATTTGATATGTGATAGTACAGAAAGAAACACTTTTTGCTTATTTTGATGTGCCAGGAAAGTAACGTATAGTGTTCCTTTCTTTCTCGATAAAACAACCCCCTAAGAACGTGCATCCCTTAGTTTGGAACACAATAGTTTAACTTTTTTTAAGAGCAGATGATCTCAACTGTTTTAATCAAACTTCTCTATATAACATTTGATGTGAAAATTGTTAATTGCAACTATATCGTTCCAAAACAATATATTTAAATACCTTTTAAAATAAATATCATTAGATATTTTCGTGGGAAAATGTATTCAAAATATTGCAACATCGATAGTAGCTATTGGATCGAGACCGTTAAAATCGCTTTCCTTTCATCATGCTCGCGAGTTTTCTCACCAATTATTCTTTTCGACGGACGCGTATTTATTCAGGTACGCTATAAATAATTGTAACGGATACGAGGCGAGAAGGTTGGCGGGCGCAGTGTCACGGAACTGCATCGGAATTCTAGAAGGATCTCGGACGCGCGACACGTGTGACTTCGGATTAGAAAAGGTAAACACGCGTTCGACCAGGTGGCGCGAAACACCGTCGGTGCATCGGATCGTCGATGCTGGTTACACGCGCGCACAGGTACGTACACTTTTCGTGCGATATAGTTGTTACGATGCAGCTGGCTATATAGATTCTTAGGTAATACTAATTGCGACCGACTGCCGGCTACATCCGAGAAACGCGCGCGTACGTAGGCCACACGTGGACTCGCGCACAGACGCGTCGCCGCGGGGAATAATTTCATTGTGGCTACTTTAATGCGATCGTCGCCGATAAATTATTCCCAGGCTGATAACTCGTGATCGCCGGCCGTAAGAACCGGAATTTACGGCGAACCGAGCCGACTCCGTTCGAACGCAAATCCATCGTGCAAATTGAATTGCCTCAATGTCAATAGTTTCTTATAGCCCGAGAAAGAAGGCCGCGCCACGACGCGTTAACGCGCCTAATCCCTCCGCGTTTCTCGCGATCGGCGTTTCTTTCATCGAACCAAATTTCCCCTGACGCGACCACACGTTGCATTTTATTCGTCGTACAAAGATATTCTAACTCGAACAAAGGGCTCGTTAATGGGGGAATACTCTTGAGTATTTTAAATTTACAAAATGTATTTGTTTTTTAAAATATTCTTAGAGCGTTGGTCGAAGTTCGCGAGACACGTGTCGCCGAGCAACTGATATAAATTATACATCGTTACAGTTGCAATTTTGTTACGACGATCTTTCTTTCCATCTCCAACAAGCGCGGATTTTCCATAATTGACAGAGGCTATGTTTGCATAAATCAAAGTGCGTTCGACGTTTTTGCGCGAGGAATTCCGCGCGTGTGTAATTACTTTGTTGCAATATCAAGAATTACGTCCGTTTTCCTGCATCGAGCGTCGTCGCTGCAACGTGATACGCGTTTCATAGTTATCCAAAGAATACATATGCTAAGGATTGGCGTTACAATTGCAATCTCGAGTGTTCACCTTGAAGCTTACTAATTACTGATTAGAGAGCACTACTTTTGATGCTGATCACTATATTCTGCTACTTGTATTGTTTCTTACGAACGCAAATGTTAAATAAAATTCTAGTCGTGGATAAACTCGTCCATTTTGGAACCAAGAAACAGTCCATGAGTTGGAGCTGCTAAAGGGGTTGAAAAATAGATAGAAACCACTGTTGTAGATCAACACTTTGACTACCACGTCATCCAGATATGAGTGATAGGACTCGCCACTATGGAACTAGGAAAACTAATTCTCAAGTTGCATTGTAGCATGCAAAAGTACAATACTAAAACAAATTCTAGGTCACGTAGTCAACAATGATCTAAAATCAAAGTTTTACTTTCGTAAAATAATATACGCTTTTTATTTAACAGTGAACGCTTTAAAAGACCCCAACGTGTTTACTGACACCCCCGGGGGGTTGGTGGACCCCGGTTTGAGAAACGCTGATCTAGAAGAGCGACGGTGAACGTAGCCAGAGACGGAACGACACGGCGACGCGCGGTGAAACGTAGCCAGAGAGAAAGAGGAGTACCCGCAGTGATTCCAACTAGAAATCTCCAGCCGGCTGCCTTGATACCTCATTATGGCCAGGCTTTTCGCAGGGTGACCCTCGTCGCGCTCGTCGGGTATTTTCCCGCGTGATGAGCGCGATTATTGTCTGCCGCGTTCGTCGTTGTTCGCAGATCGATCCGTCGTTGCATGCGCGTCCGCGTACACGTTGTTTTTCATAGATCGTCCGCAACGTGCGGCGGTTGTGGGAGTACGGCGCGAGGGAGGCGGGGTGGGGCAAAGAGAAGGGCGCGAGGGGCGGGAGGGGCGAGGGACGGTCGACTGAAATTGCGCGTCTACGCGTTCTTAGGTAACGCATCGCGCGTTGCGTGAACGGAACTCGGCTTGTTCGCGTTCATGCGCACACACAGTGGCCAGCCGGTGTGCCAGAGCCCGTTGCAATTGCCACAGTTCGTTTCGCGCACCTTTATTTTTGCTTTGCGTGAGCGCAGGTGCCTTCGTCGGACACGTGACACGTCGCCCCGGCGTGTATCTGCGTCCACGTAGCACGGCTATTAGGTAACGCGTCGATAGTGCGTGAATCGGATTTGACGTCGTGACGCTCCGTCCCGACCGTCTACAACACGATCCAACGTCGTAACAATCGTAATCGACGATCCCGTCTCGAGGATTCTAGATTCATTTTTTTTTTTTTAAATGCTCGCGCTGCCGATCGATCGAAAGTCCGCGCCACCGAACGGCTCTCGCGTTATTTCGCAGTGGACTACCCGGGGGGTTTCGAAAGCACGTTAGTTTGTTAAACGCATGCAATCGTAACGCAAATAAACGTCTTTTAGTTGCGTTAGATCGTTTGACCAACGATGGCCATCGACGTTTTCGTATCTAAACAAAATTCTGTGAACAAAAGTGTACATTCTGTTGAAATCAAAAGGCATTTAGACCCTTTGGAAAATTTATGATGTTACACGATGATAACATAAAATATTGCTAATAGAATGATACTGTGTTTTGAATGTCTTTCTTTGTTCCTAACTTTGTGCCAAATTCTTAAACGTGTACGTTAGGCAACAATGCTGATCACACTGCAAATTTGATTCATGAACGCGTGTTGTTCAGTTTAACGATGCCAGAACTCCGAATTTCGGAATTCCTTAAATGATATGTCTCACAAGAGGAACAAGATGAAATATAGCATTAAAAGTTTACGTAAACTAAATTATTTAATCACGACTAAAGATTCGGAAAATTATGTAATCGCGTAGAGACCCAATGGCAAGCAAACGACGTACGAATACAGATATTATAATTTCAATAATATCTGCATGGTGTGTTAGTGTTTCATAATACTTATTCGCTCGATATATTACGTTTGTTATTGCGTACAGTTTTACATCAAAGGATATCACAACATTTCGAATTGGATCGAATACAAAGACATATCACCGTGGAGC